CTCTCTCTCTCTCTCTCTCTCTCTCTCTCTCTCTCTCTTGTGTCGCTCTATTTACAAAGTGCCAATCGCGTATTTACCTGTTGCGTTATTTATTGTTGCTTCCCAGCATATTTCCAGGGCTGTTATCGGGGAAACTCCTTTCTAAATTTTTCGGAAATGAAATTTTACTCGAAAGTCAGGTTGACCATCGAGTCATTCGAATTCGACTGACTTTTTCAGTAAATATTTTCATTCGAAATTGAAGAGTGAATTTGATGTACTCTCTCGCTCTTGAAAATATTCGCTCTAATCGATTAAAACCTTCGCTTCAATAGCTCATATAGTTCACATAAGCTTGAGTGTATCATTCCCTGTTGCGATTTCGAGTGGTAGTATTTTCACTATTGCTTCAAGTGAAAGTACTGTCACTTTTCGAAAATTCATTCGTTTCGAATGAGATTGTTTAATTCGAAATTTAGAGGGAAGAAAAAATGGCATACTCGTATAGTTTGTCATATTCGTCGGAAGTGTCAAGCTAATCTCGAGCTAATGTCAAATCGTACATGGAAAAAATCTTTGGTTAAATGAACCAAATTTCTAGTGAAATACGAACAAATCAGAAAATTCTTGTTGAAGTTATTAGAATTCCATTTGAGTTAACTTGAGCAGAATTTGAGTAACTTCTGGCGGAATTCAGATTTGCACATATTTCACCAGAAATTTGGTTAACCCAACCAAATTTCATTCGTTTTGAATGAGACTCTGTTCAATTTGAAATTTAGAGAGAAGAAAAGTGGCATACTCGCGTGTAGTTCGTCATATTGGTCAGAAGTGACCCGAGCTAATGTCAAATCGTACATGGAAAAAACCTTTGGTTAAATAAACCAAATTTCTAGTGAAATATGAATGAACCAGAAAATTCCTGTTGAAGTTATTAGAATTCCATTTGAGTTAACTTGAGCAGAATTTGAGTAACTTCTGGCGGAATTCAGATTTGCACATATTTCACCAGAAATTTGGTTAACCCAACCAAATTTCATTCGTTTTGAATGAGACTCTGTTCAATTTGAAATTTAGAGAGAAGAAAAGTGGCATACTCGCGTGTAGTTCGTCATATTGGTCAGAAGTGACCCGAGCTAATGTCAAATCGTACATGGAAAAAACCTTTGGTTAAATGAACCAAATTTCTAGTGAAATACGAACAAATCAGAAAATTCTTGTTGAAGTTATTAGAATTCCATTTGAGTTAACTTGAGCAGAATTTGAGTAACTTCTGGCGGAATTCAGATTTGCACATATTTCACCAGAAATTTGGTTAACCCAACCAAATTTCATTCGTTTTGAATGAGACTCTGTTCAATTTGAAATTTAGAGAGAAGAAAAGTGGCATACTCGCGTGTAGTTCGTCATATTGGTCAGAAGTGACCCGAGCTAATGTCAAATCGTACATGGAAAAAACCTTTGGTTAAATAAACCAAATTTCTAGTGAAATATGAATGAACCAGAAAATTCCTGTTGAAGTTATTAGAATTCCATTTGAGTTAACTTGAGCAGAATTTGAGTAACTTCTGGCGGAATTCAGATTTGCACATATTTCACCAGAAATTTGGTTAACCCAACCAAATTTCATTCGTTTTGAATGAGACTCTGTTCAATTTGAAATTTAGAGAGAAGAAAAGTGGCATACTCGCGTGTAGTTCGTCATATTGGTCAGAAGTGACCCGAGCTAATGTCAAATCGTACATGGAAAAAACCTTTGGTTAAATAAACCAAATTTCTAGTGAAATATGAATGAACCAGAAAATTCCTGTTGAAGTTATTAGAATTCCATTTGAGTTAACTTGAGCAGAATTTGAGTAACTTCTGGCGGAATTCAGATTTGCACATATTTCACCAGAAATTTGGTTAACCCAACCAAATTTCATTCGTTTTGAATGAGACTCTGTTCAATTTGAAATTTAGAGAGAAGAAAAGTGGCATACTCGCGTGTAGTTCGTCATATTGGTCAGAAGTGACCCGAGCTAATGTCAAATCGTACATGGAAAAAATCTTTGGTTAAATGAACCAAATTTCTAGTGAAATACGAACAAATCAGAAAATTCTTGTTGAAGTTATTAGAATTCCATTTGAGTTAACTTGAGCAGAATTTGAGTAACTTCTGGCGGAATTCAGATTTGCACATATTTCACCAGAAATTTGGTTAACCCAACCAAATTTCATTCGTTTTGAATGAGACTCTGTTCAATTTGAAATTTAGAGAGAAGAAAAGTGGCATACTCGCGTGTAGTTCGTCATATTGGTCAGAAGTGACCCGAGCTAATGTCAAATCGTACATGGAAAAAACCTTTGGTTAAATAAACCAAATTTCTAGTGAAATATGAATGAACCAGAAAATTCCTGTTGAAGTTATTAGAATTCCATTTGAGTTAACTTGAGCAGAATTTGAGTAACTTCTGGCGGAATTCAGATTTGCACATATTTCACCAGAAATTTGGTTAACCCAACCAAATTTCATTCGTTTTGAATGAGACTCTATTCAATTTGAAATTTAGAGAGAAGAAAAGTGGCATACTTGCGTGTAGTTCGTCATATTGGTCAGAAGTGACCCGAGCTAATGTCAAATCGTACATGGAAAAAATCTTTGGTTAAATGAACCAAATTTCTAGTGAAATACGAACAAATCAGAAAATTCTTGTTGAAGTTATTAGAATTCCATTTGAGTTAACTTGAGCAGAATTTGAGTATCTTCTGACGGAATTCAGATTTGCACATATTTCATCAGAAATTTGGTTAACCCGACCAAATTTCTCTTTCCACGTAATAATAGGTTTCAATATCGCGCAACGCGTCCTCGACTGGTCGGAATTAGCCCTTCACACCTTGAGAAGAAGAAGAGGAGACAAGAATCCGAACTATTTGCGAGTAGCGGCATTTGGTCCTTCGCGTAATCGCGGGCGAGAAGTGCGGGTGAGCGTGCAACGATATAAAACGAGATCGCACATTTACTCTTTACGGGAGCCACCCCTCCCGGTGGAACGAACGGCGCGAAGGGTGCGAGGATGGGTGGCGGCCCCCTCGCGGCGGGAGTGGAAGGTTGTAACGACAAATCAGTTGATAGGGCCAAGAGTCTCTAGCCAGGCAGGCGGCCGGCAGGCAGGCAAGCAGGAAGGCCGAGTTGAGTCGAGACGGGTCGAGTCGAGTCGACGGTACGACCGACTATAAAAGCCCTGTCGCACCGAGGCGTCGACGTCACACGTCGTTAGTACTCTGGACAGTGAGGAACTCTCCACCGTCGTGCCACCTGTTAAAGGCGGAGCGACCGATCCCCAGGTACCGTCATCCTCATCATCGGCCGATCACCACCTCGGATCGTCTCGTCGAGAGTTCGGACGTTCGGCACGTGGACGTGAACGTCGTCGACGACGATCCAGGAGGTCCAGAGGCCCGGGAGTCGCGCACCAGCCGGCGTTGGCGATATCGCGCGCGTTTCTCCGCATTCGAAAGTCATCCGTGTTCTTCGCGTCACCCCCTTGAGAAAGAAAAAAAGAGAGAGAGAGAGAGAGAGAAAGAGGTAGATAGATAGAGGAAAAAAGAGAGTGAAAGAGAAGAAGGTCCTGTTCTCGCCGGGTTCTCTCGACGTCGAATCAACCCCGTCGCTCTTCTTCCCGAATCGTACGAGTAATCGCAAGCTCGACGCTTCTCCCCGAGCTCGACTCTACGTGGAAACGAGGAGGAGGCTACGCAAATTCAACAAGTAAGTCGACGCTCCTCTCGCGGCTCGAGTTCCTCTTTCTTTCGCCGCTGACGCGACGGGATTCGAGTTGGCGCGCTTTTGGAAGGTACAAACGGAAACGCCTGCTTTCTCTTTCTCCTCGGCGCTTTAGCTGCTCGTCCAGAGGTGGAGGCGCGATTCCCATCGATTTCTCCAACCGTTCCGTCCGGGTGCGCGATCGCGAAAGTCGCGCGAAACTTGCGTGTCGATCTTGAACGATTCGTTTGCACCGCGCGACCTTTAATTTACGACGGGAAGCCCGCACTGTTGGCAATGCTCCGTGGACAGTTTGAAGGGACGATAATTCGGTTACCCGGAAACATCTTTATTTACTGTCGCCAGCGACCTGCAACTTCGCGACGGGGTGTTAAACGGACGCCTTCGAGCCCTTTTCGCACCAGCTCCTGTATCACTACCGGTTGGCGGTGTTAGACACTAATCGATGGAAATTTTCCTCGACTCAAATAATCGGGAAGTCAACAGTCGAAATTAATCAATCGTTATATATAAAATGACGAGTAATTTAATCGATTGATGGAATCAACTAATGTTTATATAATCGATCACGTCAAAGTTTGATTAGTACACTGAGAAAAGTATCGAAAAAAAAAAAATAAAAAAGATGTTTATTCGGTGGGTACCAAAATAACTTATTTAGATTTAATTTTTTCATGTAAATGGAATAAACAATCGCTTATACGAGAAATTAAGGTTTTAAGAAAGTATGTATGTATATTCTTTTGAAAAATGTGTTTTGTCAGTGTAGAAATGTGTATATTAGTGTGAGTAAATATGTTATCTGCCGAATAAATATTTATTTCCTAAATATTTTTTCCTTAATGTACATAAAAAATTCGGTTGTATTAACGTATGAAATTTGATTTCAATAAATTAGCCAACGCGTTTTGGTCGAGGAACATAAAAATTACTGAGTTTCTCGTGAGCCAAATTTGTTTCTAAGAAATTTCGTTTTCTTCAGTCAGAACGCGTTGATTCGTTCATCACAATCAGACTCCATGTTGACACAACGAAATTTATGATTTTATATCTCTGACGATTGATAAATTGGCTATAATTTTGCAAGAATGATTTACTTCACAAAATTATGATTTTTTAGTTTTTGTTTTCCCAATAGTTAATCTTCTCATGTGTTTTTCTACACAAGAAAAGATCCAAGCCTTAGATGCGCCTAAAATTAATTGAAAAAGTTGTTATTCCTACTAGTTGTATCTCAGTGCTATCCATCTATACTTTTTCAATCGTGCATTAAATAGCCATCTTTTATTTTCTTCGAGAGATATGCTTCATGTAAGCTGGATCGTTCTTGCATAACGACGGCCGATTACAATGACTGATTTGCCGATTATTTTGTCGAAGGGAGACGGTCCTGTCGGTTAGTGCCTGGTCGTTTTGACCGGGCGGTATAAATAATAAAGTTTTGACCGCCGATCGATAGGCGACAATCCGTTAAACCACGTCATCCGCAAAATTTCGTGTAGAATTTAGTCTACGCGGGTTGCTTTCGCGACATTCGCGCTGTTCGCGTGCCGGGCGGCCCGGCAGCTGATGATAATTCAACGTCGCGCGCTTTAATCCTGATTTACGTGCGCGCAAAATCGTGGCCGGGCTACACACACCGCCAGGATGTGGACACACGAAAGAGAACAACCGGCGACGCGGCACAGCACCCCGTGCTATTGTTATTCGCCGTTGTAACTGTCCCCGCTTGCTGATGCACGCCGTCAGATTCATTTCGATTAAAGTTTCGTCGGTTTTTGTTTTGCAACGCGGATCACGTCCTGCCAATAAACGCGCACACGACGCATCTGAAAATGCACGCAGGAGGTTTCGTCTCACGCGATTGTTCTACGTGATGTCGGCTAATTAACGCCGCGGGCCACTAGTAAATATCGATCAATCGGCATATTGAATCGCGTTACACAGGATTGTAGACTCTACTCTACAATTTTACGGAAACGTAGAACGGATTGAAGAGAACATAAAAATCCTATGTCGCGTTCTGCAATATTCGCAATAATAGTCGAGATATTAGTTAAAGAAGATTGGTGAATGATCATGCGCGATGTGGTAGATGAGATGTGGTGGTGACGTCTGCTTGTACATTACGTCAAATTGGACAAAAAAGCCTTTTATCGTTTTGCAAATAATTATGTAGATTTTTTATTATTAATGATAGAAAATTGTTACGCTAAGAAAAAAATTTATTAAATTTCAAAAAACGTTTGTTTGGATAGTACTGTGAAGATATTTGTTTAAATTAAGTAATTATTTTATAAAATTAAATAAAGAAGTTTTAAATATAAATTTGTTTCTTTAATTTTAGAAAATAATTACTTAATTTAAACAAATATCTTCACAGTATTATGCAAACAAACGTTTTTTGAAATTTAGTAAATTTTCTTCTCAGTGTACACAATTGTGCGCGATAATGCACAAATCTTCTTTAACCCTTTAGGCATCACTGGTACCAATAGGGACCACTTAGGATCGAGCAGTTGAAACCTTATAAATGTGCTATTTACAGTGTTTTTGACAATATTTCACTAAAAAAAAGTAACTAGAATGTTCCATAAATTATGTGCCTTAAAGGGTTAATTAATATCTAAAAATCCATGTGATCATTTGCAAAATAGTAAAGGACCTTTTTTGTTCAGTTTGACTTATAAGTATACAACGGCACCAAGTATACAGCTATACAAGGAATATACAACTCATCTACCATATCGCGCGTGATCATTCACTAATCTTTTTCAATTAATATCTCAAGATTTATTGAGAATTATTGCAAAACAGCACGTTCACCTCGATCCGTCCTACGTTTCCACAAGGCCTGGGACACCCTGTATAAGGCCAAGATACGCTTTTTACGCAACGGCCTGTGAACGCAAAGCGTAGCGCGCTGCGTTCGCGAGGCTGCACTGATAAAAACATTTGCTAATAATAATCGCAGTGTTTACTGGTTATTTACCCGTCTTAGCTAACCTCTCGTATCTAGATAATTTTCGCTACGACCGTAAGACCACTTTTTTAAGTGTACGCAGTAAAAATGCACCGTCAGAGATATGTGATTGCGTGTGGAGTGATTTTATCGCGTTATTTCGCAATTACCGGATTGATCATTCGATTGATTCGCGCACGAATATCCAAGCGTGCCTTGTGCGTTCTAGAAAGCTAAATTACCGCGGATAATTGTGAGGTTACACGTAGGCAAAGTCGAGTCACTCGTTATTAATTAGAAACGAGAACTTTCGCATAACTTCAAATTCTGCGACAATTCTTCTAGTAAGATAAGCCTTCTCGCTTAATAAATGAGCTCAACATCCGTTGCGTGATGTCGCGTTTCTGCTATATTGAGGAAACTTTCTAAGCCTATGTGTATATATATATATATATATATATATATATATATATATATATATATATATATATATATATATATA